AGAGAGAGAGAGAGAGAGAGAGAGAGAGAGAGAGAGAGGCGTATACAAGGAGGATTGAAATTTCTCTCCCCCTCTCTAACCGTATACATACAGATGTAGTGCAGAAAGCAACGGCATGAGCGGAGAGAGACGAGCTAGTCCTCCATCTGATCGAATTTGTGAAGCCGGCCATAACTGCAGGTGGAGGCAAATAATTGAGGGTGCTAAATTATCTTTGCTCTCTTCCTAAATATGAGATGTTTTTTATTCTACATGTGAGTGAGAAGCATCCCATGCAGATGATTATTATTTTTCCAAAACAGAGACAAAAGTCCGTCTCATCAATTAATTAAGCAGAAGAGAGTTATTCAGTTAATTAACAAAAAATCAGACGGAAACCAAAATGCAGATGATTATTACTCTAATTGAAACCAAACCAACCACGAATAAAGGAGCATGGGCCACCCGGGCCAGCTCCATGTCTATATCGGTGAAGCACCTATCCTACCACCTGCATTTGAGTCATCCACCCAGTGTGCACCACTACTGGTGTTGTGCACTCAATGTCCAATCAAGGAAATTAGTCACAAGAAAAGTATGTGGGCATAGGTGCAATTAATTAATAACTTACTTGATCAAATAGATATAGGTGTACTAAATAAGTGTTTTGCTTCGGTACACCCCCTAGAAAAGTTTACAGATTTGGGTGTAGATTAAAGGTGAATATTAGAAGTTAACCTTCAATAAAAAAGATTAGATTGTTTCGATCTCTTGTTTGATCCATTGAGAAAATAAGGATTAGAATTAGATAATCGTGAATGTATGAGAGTACTTTTAAAAGTAACTTTAAGAGTCTTGCAAACTTTTAGGGGGTGGGGGGTAGGGGTGGGGAGGGGGTACTGGAGCAAAACTCATTAAATTACGGAAATGTTAACGCCCACACGTGTGGGAGTTGACCATCTCGACCACACGCATCCATCACCGTCCAGTACTATATGCACGAATGTTGGCACAATCTGGCTAATTTTCTATGCCACGTAGGACAAGGCGTGTGTGTGGTGTGTGACATAGTTCGCCCACACATCCGTTTTATCACACGGAGGGGCCGGTGTGCGGGCGTTTAGCAGTTCACCCACACACCAGTTTTCAGTCACGCACAAGGGCTGGTGTGTGGGCATTTGCCATCTCGTCCACACGTCCATCTCCTCTCCCACACCCCCAGCTGCTAGTTGCCATGTGTTATTGCAGCGCACATGGCAACTGCCCATAGTGTGCTTTATAAGCAGGTGGCAACTCTCTTTTTTTACCCGAGTTGCCATGTGTTTTTGCAGGGTACACGGCAACTGCCTAGTGTGCACGTAAGCAGATAGCAACTCTCTTTTACCGAGTTGCCATGTGTTTTTGCATGGTACATGGCAACTGCCCCAACGTACACGTACATGGCAACTGCCCTAACGTGCACATTAGCAGATGGCAACTCTTCCTTTTTACATGGCAACTGCCCTAGCATGCTTGTGAGCACATGACAACTCTCTCAACTGCCTAGTGTTAGTATGTGGCAACTCCTAAAGTTATGAAATCATGGCAACTACATTAGATCAGACCATACATGGCAACTGCAGTTGAGCAACCATGGCAACTGCAGTTGTCCGACATGGCAACCGTAGTTCAGCGACATGGCAACTGCAGTTAAACGAACATGGACGAGGGTCAGGACCATGTCAACTGCGGGCGCGCGATGGGCGTCACGCGTCGCGTGCGGGACCAGGAGGGTACGAGACCTGACATACGGGCGTGTGGGCATTATCAACTTCGCCCACACGCACGCGTGTGAGAGGGTTCGGGAGGGAAAAAAAGATGTGTGTGGGCATTAGTTGTTTTGCCCACACGTAGGTGTGTGGGCTGGTTACTGTCCATGCCACACGAGGCGTGTGGCACAACTACCCGATACACCACACGTGTGGCAGTTATCAGGACCCTTAAATTAAGGAACAATGATACATAACTACCCATTTTAGAGGAAAAATCAAATCGCTATCACCAATAGTTTCCCCCTTTGTGATATGTGTAAAAGATACCCGCCACTTAGATACTGTGTTTAATAGATGCCTGAGAGTAATTTCATTTTAGAAATCCCTCTTTATGTCCAATGAGTAACAGTTTAATTTGGTCGCCCCTAAGTGATGGATCCATGACATGAGCTGGACCTTCTTTCGCATTTCCAAGTTCAACTTTGAACTCCCCTCCTAAGACAACACTCCATCAATTGGGGATCATTGCTATCTTCCCTGCGAGGGCCATCCATATGACCGTGTCGACTAGGGAAAATCGTTCAAAGAAGAAATATTAAATTGATCGTGTCATGGTAGAAAGAATGTGTAATGGGTAGGAAGAATGTGTCTCCAATTGGGGATCTCTAAAATGGATGTGTCACCGGTAGAAAGAATGTGTGGCCTATCAACTTTGTGCACCAACATGGACCGGTTTTGCTTGTCCATGGTCTTAGTTGTTTGTTCTTAAATAGGATTCTATGTTAGCCAATAGGGGCAACCAAAAATAGTTAATACTACTTGCGAGATAAGTTATTTTACTTTCACGGATAGTATGATAACTCACATGATAGATCATAGCTAGTACGGTGCACATGTTGAGCAATCCTTAGTGATGAACATTTCAATGGTTAGAGGGGAACTACCACACTAGCTATCATTTGGCAACGTCAGTGATGTCGGTTGGGTCGATATAGGGTGCCAAGGACGGAGTGGCACAATCTCTAAAAATGCATTAGTTGCAAAATGGTAATGATGGACTTGAACGGATGCAGAACTTTGATGTGTGTTTTGATTATTAAAGTAAACTGATTTGTTGCACACCTTCAGTAAAAATGAATCATCGGATGATAGTAATGTTGTTGAGGGAAGGCCTTGAGGTCATTATCATGATAGCAAAACATTTGTAAGGAGAGCTTGGTGAATGCACATAGCACACAAACTTGCTTGTGCAGTCTCCAAAACTTACTAAGGGATTCATTAGTAATGTGAGTGACTCCTTCACTAGTAAATATAAAGTTCATTGGCCTATGTTACTAATATTAGTATGTCCACCAATGAGAAGCAATGTGTTAATTAAGATTGTGGTTATCCTCATGAACCCCTTAGTAAGCTTTGCAGATATCCTCTATTGCGCATATTACATTAATGAGTTTAGATTGTCTCTACTCACCACTTTCAGATTCACATTATATATCATCACAAAATAACCCTCATTCACCATGGCATGTTATCTCTTCCTTTACCATCCCATTTCATCTTCTTGGATCCATCTACCAAATCTTGTTTGACTCTCTTGCTCAGTTGAGCACACACATGTATGCTATAAGATCCTCCTGAACTACTTGACTGGCTAGCATGAATTAAGATATCTATCTACCTTTCTCTATTGTATCTCATACTCAAAACACAACTCATTCAGGAATGTAGGCCTTGGGAGTACTTGAGGAACTAGTCATATACCTAGCCATGGCTGGAGCAGAATATCCACACACCATAGTACAAATATGGTCCTTTTTAGTCTGATTCAAAACTGTCTATGTTTGAAAGCATCTAGTTTTAGAGTAGGAAGTACTCACCTCGCATGATTCTAGGACAATAGTAGGTTCACAGTCGACTACAAGTGGAAGTGCACTTTGTCGTTGCATTGAATTTTGGCAAAAATTAAGTGGCATACACATTGAATTTTGTACATCAGAGAGTTCATAAAATTAGATACAAACATATGAAAGATTATGTGTGGACTCCATGCAAAAATATAACAAAAACTCATAATTGCTCTTTAAACCCATTCATCGGTTGCTAGACACTTGACATAAGGTTATTTTAAGATTAGTTACTATTTGGACTAAAGCTCGAGGCCCCTGAGTTACTTTGCAAGGTTGAAGCCTTAATGGGAAGGTGATTTTTTGTTGGAAATATGCCCTAGAGGCAATAATAAAAGTGTTATTATTATATTTCTTTGTTCATGATAATAGTCTTTTATTCATGCTATAACTGTATTATTCGGAAATCATAATACACGTGTGAATACATAGACCACAATATGTCCCTAGTGAGCCTCTAGTTGACTAGCTCGTTGTGATCAACAGATAGTCATGGTTTCCTGGCTATGGACATTGGATGTCGTTGATAACGGGATCACATCATTAGGAGAATGATATGATGGACAAGACCCAATCCTAAGCCTAGCACAAAGATCGTGTAGTTTGTATGCTAAAGCTTTTCTAATGTCAAGTATCTTTTCCTTAGACCATGAGATTGTGCAACTCCCGGATACCGTTGGAATGCTTTGGGTGTACCAAACGTCACAACGTAACTGGGTGGCTATAAAGGTGCATTACAGGTATCTCCGAAAGTATCTGTTGGGTTGGCACGAATCGAGACTGGGATTTGTCACTCTGTGTAAACGGAGAGGTATCTCTGGGCCCACTTGGTAGGACATCATCATAATGTGCACAATGTGACCAAAGGGTTGATCACGGGATGATGTGTTACGGAACGAGTAAAGAGACTTGCCGGTAATGAGATTGAACAAGGTATCAGTATACCGACGATCGAATCTCGGGCAAGTACAATACCGCTAGACAAAGGGAATTGTATACGGGATTGATTGAGTCCTTGACATCGTGGTTCATCCGATGAGATCATCGTGGAACATGTGGGAGCCAACATGGGTATCCAGATCTTGCTATTGGTTATTGACCGGAGAACGTCTCGGTCATGTCTGCATGGTTCCCG